GTATGGTTAACGAAAGATCTTCAAATACAATTTGTGGGGAAGTTGGTGATTTTTTAATGGCAATGAAGTACTTCGATTTCATATTTATATTGCATCTTATGCACAAGATTATGGGGATTACAGATATGCTTTGTCGGGCATTGCAGCATAAATCATTAGATATTTTGAATGTAATAAATTTAGTCTAATCGACAAAATCATTGCTTCAAACTTTGCGAGCAGAAGGTTTTGATTATCTCCTTGACCATGTGAAATTAGTTTGCATGAAATTTGATGTCGATATGCCTGATATGAGTACTTAATACAAAGGGGCAAGATATTCATGTTAACAGAATGAAAACATTACAGTTGATCATCACTATCACATGGACATATTTAATTCTACGATTGATCATCATTTAGAAGAGTTACATAGTAAATTCAATGAAGAGACAATGAAATTGCTTATGCTCAGCTCTGCTTTAGATCCTCGGGACAACTTTAAATCTTTCAATCCTAATCGCATTTGTTTAGTTGTTGAGAAATTTTGTGCAACTGATTTTGACAGACAAGACATGCATCATTTGAACTGTCAACTGGATCATGATCGATTTGATGTGGTTCGCCACGAAAGATTTCAAAGTATGTCTACAATTTCATAATTATGTCGTGGTTTAGTAGAAACAAATAAGGCAGAGTCCTACAATTTGATTGATAGGTTGATTTGTCTTATTTTAACTTTTTTCGTTTCTAAGGTAACTTCAAAAAGAGCATTTTCAGGCATGAAACTTGTCAAAAATATTCTTCGTAACAAGATGGAAGATGAGTATTTGACTGATTCATTAGTTGTCTATATTAAAAGAGAAATAACCGAAGCAATCGATATAGATTCAATAATATATGCCTTTTGTTCTAAGAAGGATCGAAGAGTCCAATTTCATTATTAAGTGTTTATGAGTTTACATTTGTATTATTGTATATATGTTTATGAGTTTACATTTTTATTTTGTTAGTCGTATAAATGCTTAGTTTTGTTCGGGATAAACAAAAATTCTGGCACCACCCTTGATGACAACCATCATTGGAGGTGCAGAAAATCAGTTGCAAATATTACGCCGACTCTGGAACACTTGGTAGCTCAAAAGGGAATAACATTGTAGTGGAACAAACAAAGGTACAAAGAGAAATCCTACTCTCTCATACACATGGGGACCACTTGTCTAAATCTCTTTAAATGGTAGCAATAGATCAAATGCACCTCACGATTCCAATATCTCAACACATTTCTACATCCAACCCACACAAAGCGAACCCATCAAGAAACAAAGTAACCCAACACAAACCTGAAACCAACCCACCCATTCTGAACCCAATTCAAGCTAACCCCACCAACACCAATCTCACCACCACTAACCCAATCGACCTAAACGAGAAGATTCAACAAAACCCAAGCCAAACTTGCAATAGAATCCACACCTACCATATACCTAGGCTCATGTAGACAATCAAAAACCATAACCCTAACCCTAAACCTATAGAAAAACACAACAAATCCCCTCTTCTAACTTCAATTGAGGGATTACCACAATCGGATAATGAAGGAATAGTTGATAACTATATGGCTTATGATTTTCAAATCCTATCTCTCAAACGACAAGCTCCAACGACACTAATAGAGGGAAAAATAGGCAAAATTAAAAGGAAGGAAGATGGTTCATTGGAGTTTAAACCTATGAATAAGAAAGAAGAACACTAATCAGATGGGAAGCCAAATTCCTACTATGTTACGGAACCTAACGAAGAGATCAAGGAGCAAGTCAACACTTATTCAAAGACACATAGAGTGGCACAAAAATTCAGAAAAAGGAAGTCTGTCAAGCAGGATGTTTCAAAGGAAATTTATCAATCTTAGAAAATTAATATTGAATGGACAGAAGAGGTTTTATGGCTAAGGAGGTTGGCCTTACCATGCCCACCTCCCCCATGAGGCTTATCGTCTAGAATTTTCAAAGAATAGGGTCACCCTTGACAGTTCTAGCCTTGAATGACCTTTGTGTCCTTCACAAACCCCAGATTATATGCCTTAGTGAAACAAAGACAAAGAGGCATAAGATGGATAGAATTAGAAGGGAATTAAGAATGGACAATAAATTTACAGTGGAGCCGTTGGGGTTATCTGGAGGGCTATGCATCTTGTGGAACAGAGATGTTAATCTTTAAATTGAAGATTATGGTCCAAACCACATTAATGTGACTGTCAAGGCAGAAGATGTGAAAGGACCATGTCATATGAGCACCCTAATTATGAATCTAGATGTAGACAGTGGAGTAGACTAAGTATGTATGGGAAAATCATTAATCTCCCATGGTTGTGCATAGGGAATTTTAATGATATAATATTAGTTACTGAGAAAGAAGCCATAAGAGCTTGGTCAACAAAGAAAATCCAAAGCTTCAGGCACTTTGTGGATGAACACAACTTAGTGGAGATGGAAAGTAAAGGTTGTAGATTCACTTGAGACAACCATCGATAGGGTACATCTACTACCAGGGAGAAAGTTAGATCAAGCAATGGCATCATGAAGTTGGAGAGTCACATTCCCAAATGCTGAGGTAATTCTCCTACCTGCCATAGGATCGGACCATTCTCCACTAATCCTTGATACTAAGATGGAGCAAGAAAGCCCAAAGAGGTTTTTTAAATTTGAGACTTCTTGGGTTGATGAAAAAAAACGTAAAGACATTATACAACAAAGCTGGGATTTTCTAGTGGAAGGATCCAACACGTACATATTTAAGCGAAACTAAGAAATTGTGGAAAATGACTTAGTAGATGGAGAACATCTCATTGTGGAAACAACAAAAAAATGATTGAACTTCTCAAGAGTAAATTAGTTGAGTATCAAAATGACTAAAGCTCAAATATGCAACAAAAGGAAGTGAAAATTAAAGCTGAGATAAGTGACCCATGGCGTAGAGGAAAAATACTAGGGACAAAAATCAAGGTTAAAATGGGGGGATAAAAACACATAATTTTTTCATGCAACAACAACCCAAAGGTGGAAGAGGAACATGATCACTATGTTAAAGAATTTTGAAGAACAATGGGTTTCTGGGAAGATACATATTAATCAGATGATTTAGTAGTACTTCCAAGAAGTTTATAGGGCAGAAGGTATCAGAAACTATGACTAGATACTCCAACTTATTCCCCAGGTTATCACAGAAAGGATGAACACAACGCTATTAAGTAGACCTTGTATCGAGGAGATCAAAATAATAGTCTTCAGCCCGGAAGCCATTAAATCACCCGGTTCAGATGATCCTCTAGGACTATTTTATCAAAGGTACTGGTTAGTTATCCAACCTGAGCTAGTTAGTGCAGTACTCTCCTTCTTCCAAACTAGTTTCCTCCTCAAAGAAATAAATGAAACCAATGTTTCACTGGTCCCAAAAGTGGCACACCAAGAATAGATTGGATAATGTAGGCCGATAAGTTGCTATCACTTATAAAGTGATGTCTAAGATTCTGACACCTAAACTCAAACCCATTCTTAAGCAGATAATATCTCATAACCGAAGTGCATTCATTGGGGGGAGGCAAGTACAAGAAAACATAATTGTAGGACAAGAAGTTGTGCAGCCCATGAGATAGAGAAGAAGAACAAGAAAGTATCAGATGTCTATTAAGTTGGATATGACTAAAGCCTACGATAAAGTCAATGGGACTTCTTTAGGAACCTAATGCTAAAAATGGAGTTTGATTCCATGTGGGTGAAGTTGGTCATGCAATATGTCTCTATTGTCAGATATAATATCTTGGTCAATGGAAATAAGCAAACCAAATTAGCCTATTGAGAGATCTAAGACAAGGAGACCCCCTTTCTTCATACATATTCATCCTCATATATTACTAAATATCTAAACCTCTTGATCAACAAGGAAATGGAAGGAGGAACCTTAAAAGGGCTCAAACTAAACAGATCAGGTCCAACTCTATCCTATCTTTTATGTGCTGACAATTCAATTTTTTTTTCTCCACAACTTTTCGAACATATAGCCAAGCTTTGATGGGCATCCTAAATAGATATTGCTATGCAGCAAGGCAGTTGATTAACACTAACAAATCTGTTGCCATGTTTAGCAACAACATGCCACTGTCTCGACAATATGAGCTTGTCCAACTCCTTAGGATCCCATTGTCTCACAGAGTAGGAAAGTACTTGGGGCTCCCAATGGAGTGGGGAAAGTCAAAAAGACAAACTCTTGCTTTGATTAAGGAAAGGGTGTTATCCAAAATAGCAGGATGGATAGAAAGGTTTTTGAACCATACAGGGAGGGAAGTACTTATCAAAGTGGTGGTGCAGGCCATACCAGCATACACCATGTCTATTTTCAAGTTTCCCAAAACCTTTTGCAAGAGATAAGTGCTAGCATAAAGAGATTCTGGTGGAAGAATTCAACAAAGCAATTCTTGCAAAATGATTCTAGAGATTTCTGGCAAACCCAAATGCATTATGAGTAAAGGTACTACAAGCTAAATATTGTCAAGGACAATTTATATAGAAGACCAATACTAAGCCCACTAACTCATGGATCTGGAAAAACTTATTAGAAGGCAAGAAGGTGTTAAAAAGGGGCTGCATATGGAAGATAGGAGATGGTTGGAATGTTAGGTGTTAGGAAGATCTCTGGATTTCAAAACACCTTCAGATTGTTGGAGATATTGCAGTTTAGTTTATTAGGGTTTATTATAGTTTTCTTTTTTTACCTTTTTACCTTTATTGTAATTTTCATTGGCTATATATACGGGGGCTTTATACTTAGGTTGTATCTCTTTTGACTCATATATTTCTCTAAATGGTATCAGAGCAAAAACCCTAACTCTAACCCAACCCTAACCATAACCCTAGCCTTCTATACCTCCTTGCAGTCTGCCGCCACCATAAACCAGCCACACCACTACCACTGCGCAACTGCAGCAATCACAGCCCAGCCACCATCACAGCTTCACTGAAAACTCAGCAAACCAAAACCACAAACTGTAAACCAGTCAACCAATCATCGCAACCAGCGCAAGCCACCGACTGCCCAGCCAAAAACAACCATCGAAAGCCACCGACTGCCCATACCAACCAGTCCAAACAACCATCATAGGACTGCAAAAGCAAAACAACCAGCAACAACCTCACCGAAACCAAAACAGCAAGCAACAAAACCACAAACAACTTCTCCGACTGCCCAATAACCAGCGCCTTGACTCCAACTACCCAACAATAGCCCACAGAAATTGAAACTTCTCCGACTGCCCAGTATCCACTACCTTGACCAGTCTGCCCCAAAATCAAACCAGTCCACTACCTTCACTGATAGACTAGTCTGCCAAAGCAGTCCAAGAGACCAAATAAACTCAAACGAGTAAAAAAAAAATCAGTCCAGTCCCAAACCAGTCCAGTCCCAAACTCAGTCCAATCCAGTTCAGTCCTAAACCAATCCAGTCCCAAACCCAACACAATACCCACTCCATTGGACCAGCCCGCTGTTGGGTTGCGTTCTTTGTCATAGCTTCAAGTTATGCCTTCGTGCGCCTGATTATTTGGGACTGTATGATCTTTTAAGAGGGGTTGATTTCTCTTCTCCGTTGATCTGCTCTTGATGCAGTAGATCAATTATTTATATTTATTGGATTTATGGGCACCGTGATCTGATTACTTGAGAGCTTTCTGGACCTTCTTTATTTGTCGCTATTATTCGACTAGAGGTATATTATTCTCCCTTATTTTGTCCCTCTATTTATCTTAAGAATATTTTCTTGTCACGAGTGCCCACATATTGTTATTGTTATGGCTACTATTGAGAGATTTGAGACCTCTACTTTTGAGACCTCTGCTATTAGTACTTCTACCTGAAATGTACCTCCTGATTCTCGTTGGTGTGATTATTGTGGCCGACCAGGCCATCTCCAGGCTACTTGCTAGAAGCTCTATCCAGAGCTTAAGCCGTCTGCTTGCAGCCGCACTGCTACTGTTGTTGAGGTACCACCACCTATTGTCGCTGTTCTTGCTGTTACTCCTCCTCCTCATTAGCAAAATGACATGGATGCTATCGTTTTCCGATTGGATATACTTATGTCCTCCTTGACCTCTCAGGGTTCGACTACTGTTACTGCCACCACTGCAGGTATACTTCGTGCCTTTCATGCTTGCGCCAGTCCGTCTCCTCTTTGGATGCTGGACTTGGGTGCAAATGGTCATATGATAGGTGAGGTCCATCATTTCACCACTTTTGACAAGCAGTTACATACACAGGTTCAGTTAGTAGATGAGACATATGCCCCTATTGTTAGTAGGGGTACAGTCCGCCTCCCAGATGACTTTACATTGCATTCAGTTTTTTATGCGTCAAAACTGGCCATGAATTTATTATCTGTACATCAGTTAGCCAGAGATTTTTACTGTGCGGTTGTGTTTTTATCTAATTCGTGTTATTTGTAGGACCTGAGTACCAAGAGGATTATTATCAGGGGATATGAGAGACATGAATTGTATTATCTATGAGATCCACCTCCAGTTTCACCAATTCCTCCACCTCCATCACCTGCATCTACTTTGTCTTTATCTATTCCTAGCTTGCATGCTAGTATCTTACTTAGTACCTGTCGTTATAATTTTTCATCACAAACTGTTCAATTGTGACATGATCTTTTTGGACATACAAATTTTAAATATTTATGTATATTATTTCCTACTTTGAGCAATACTTGTGTTGGAGGTAAATTTGACTGTGTTATATGTTCCCTATCAAAACATGTTCGGACCAGTTATATTCTTCGCATGCACCAGTCATCCAAGCCGTTTGACCTAATACACTATGATATTTGGGGACCTTCTCCTATTACTGCTTTATCAGGTGCTCGATACTATGTGACATTTATAGATGACCATACCCATTGTACTTGAGTCTACCTTTGATATAAGAAGTTTAATGTATTCCATGTCATCACACAGTTTCTTCAGATATTAAGACACAATTCGATGTCATTGTTCGTGCTCTTTGTTCGGATAATGCCAAAGAATATGTGTCTGATGCCTTAGTGTCTCACTTTTTCTCTCAGGGTATCATTCAATAGCTCACTTGTCCATATACTCCTAAGCAAAATAAAATTGCTGAAAGGAAAAATAGGAGTCTAATAGGGATTATACATTGTATGCTTAGAGGTATGGGGGTACCAAAATCTTATTGACATTTTGATGTTTTAACTTCTACCTTTCTGTGTAATCGTACACCGAGTCGTGTTCTTTAGCATAGGGCTCCCTTACAGGTCTTATTCCTTGAGCGGACACTTTTTCCAGTCCCCCCTCGTGTTTTTGGTTGCACATATTTTGTTTAGGACCTATCTCTTACTCACCATAAGCTTGATGATAAAACAATTCGTTGTGTCTTTGTGGGGTATTGTCATCAGTCTAAGGGGTATTGGTGTTATGATCCTATCAGGTGTCATATGTATCACAGTCTAGATGTTACTTTTCTTGAGCACATTTCTTATTTTTCTTTCAATCCTGTGTCTGCCACTCTAATTGATGATACTCCTTTTGATTTTCCATTACTACAGGANGAGGTAAATTTGACTGTGTTATATGTTCCCTATCAAAACATGTTCGGACCAGTTATATTCCTCGCATGCACCAGTCATCCAAGCCGTTTGACCTAATACACTATGATATTTGGGGACCTTCTCCTATTACTGCTTTATCAGGTGCTCGATACTATGTGACATTTATAGATGACCATACCCATTGTACTTGAGTCTACCTTTGATATAAGAAGTTTAATGTATTCCATGTCATCACACAGTTTCTTCAGATATTAAGACACAATTCGATGTCATTGTTCGTGCTCTTTGTTCGGATAATGCCAAAGAATATGTGTCTGATGCCTTAGTGTCTCACTTTTTCTCTCAGGGTATCATTCAATAGCTCACTTGTCCATATACTCCTAAGCAAAATAAAATTGCTGAAAGGAAAAATAGGAGTCTAATAGGGATTATACATTGTATGCTTAGAGGTATGGGGGTACCAAAATCTTATTGACATTTTGATGTTTTAACTTCTACCTTTCTGTGTAATCGTACACCGAGTCGTGTTCTTTAGCATAGGGCTCCCTTACAGGTCTTATTCCTTGAGCGGACACTTTTTCCAGTCCCCCCTCGTGTTTTTGGTTGCACATATTTTGTTTAGGACCTATCTCTTACTCACCATAAGCTTGATGATAAAACAATTCGTTGTGTCTTTGTGGGGTATTGTCATCAGTCTAAGGGGTATTGGTGTTATGATCCTATCAGGTGTCATATGTATCACAGTCTAGATGTTACTTTTCTTGAGCACATTTCTTATTTTTCTTTCAATCCTGTGTCTGCCACTCTAATTGATGATACTCCTTTTGATTTTCCATTACTACAGGAGCCAGAGCCATTGATAACTATCAGTATAGAGTCATCAGTCTCTCCTTCTCCAGAGCCACTCGTCCCTGTCAGTACAGAGTCACCAGTCTCTTTTCCTTTGCAGGTTTATGTTCGTCACCCTCACTCTTATCCCCCTGCTGATGTCCCTTCTACCTTAGACGATGCGGGTAATACTTCTCAGTTTGTTGAGCATATTGATGCACCTATTGTTAGTACTGATGACATTGTAGTTACTGAGCCGATTACTTTTCCTAATGAGACATTGTCAGTGGAGGATGATGATTTAGGGCGTTGTTACCCACAACATGATCGTCGTCCAGTTGTTCGTTATGGTTGGACTGCCATGACTTTATATCCAATCTCTGCTTATGTGTCTTATGGTGATTTGTCTCATACATTTTCAAGCTTATAGTATGGTCTTATCAGATACGCCGGTTCCTCGCTCTGTTTTAGAGGCTATGAGGGAGCCCCAGTGGCTTCTTACCATGCAAACGGAGATGGACGCTCTTCAGCGTAATCATACGTGGGATCTTGTCTCTTTATCTTCAGGGGTGAAGCCTGTTGGCTGTCGTTGGGTTTATACCCTAAAGTTTTTTGCGGATGATACTATTGATCATCACAAGGCTAGGCTTGTGGCGAAGGGCTTTACTCAAGTACCAGATCGTAATTTTGGTGCTACCTTTGTCCCTGTTGCAAAATTGACTATTGTTTAATTGATTATTTCTCTAGTTGCGGAGTACTCTTAACCTTTTCATCAGTTGGATGTGAAGAATGCATTTCTTCACGGTGATCTAGACGAGATTATTTATATGGATGCAGCACCGGGCTTTCGTGGTGAGGGGGAGTTTGCTGGAAATGTATGTCGACTGCGTAACTCTCTTTATGGACTGAAACAGTCACTACAAGCTTGGTTCTCTCACTTTAGTGATGTAGTTGTACGTTTAGGGTTCACCAGATGTCATTTTGATCATACCTGTTTCATTCGACATAATACTTTTGGATGGTGTGTCATACTTTTGGTATATGTTGATGATATTATTAATACTGGAGATGATATTTCTGGAACTGTGCAGGTCAAGGTAGACCTTGAAAAGGCCTTCGATGTGAAGGACTATAGATTTTTTCGATACTTTCTTGGGATTGAGGTTACCCATAGTAGTAGGGGGTATTGTTCTTTCTTAGAGAAAGTATGTTATGTATCTTCTCTTAAACACTAGGATGTTGGAGTGCAAATCAGCATCATAACCCATGATTCTAAACCTGAAGCTTACTGCTGAAGGTGAGGAGTTGAGAGATCCGACTATTTATCAAAGGTTGGTAGGTAGACTTATTTACCTAGCCAACACTAGACCAGTCATTTTATTCGCCGTCAGCGAAGTTAGTCAGTTCATGCACAGACCATGTCAACCTCATCTTGATGCAGTTTATCATATTCTTCGGTATCTCAAGTCTTGTCCTAGACTTGGGTTGTTCTATGCATCAGGATCTCAGACTGGTTCTCTAGCTTGTTATTCAGATTCAAATTATAGGGGAGCGTGTGACAGTCGATCTACTACGGGCTTCTGTACTTTTCGAGTGACTCATCTTATCTCTTGGAAGAGCAAGAAGCAGTCAGTTGTCTCCCGCTCGTCAGCAAAGGTAGAGTATCGGGCACTGACACTGGCACTTGACACATGTGAGATTATCTGACTAAGATCAATTCTTGGCGAGTTTGGATTTTCAGTGACTTATTTATCTACATTATATTGTGATAATCGATATGCTATTCAACTCGCTTCTGACTCTATATTACGTGAGAGGACAAAACATATAGAGATCGATGTTCACTTTCTTCGGGAGAAGGTTAACAGTGATATTGTCACTCTATCGTTTGTGGAGACAAGTGATCAGGTTGCAGATATTTTCACCAAACCTATCACTCTATCCATTTTTCGAGACTGCGTTGTCAAGCTTGACTTAGTTGACATTTTTGCCCTTGACTTGAGAGGGAGTGTTGGAGATATTACAGTTTAGTTTATTAGGATTTATTATAGTTTTCTTTTTTTACCTTTTTACCCTTATTGTAATTTTTATTGATTATATATACGGGGACTTTACACTTAGATTATATTCCTTTTGACTCACATATATTTCTCTAGTCAAATTAAGACCATGAGGCATAGCAGTACACTAAAAGTTCAAGACTAATTAAGCAACCTCACANAACTCTATACTTAGATTGTATTCCTTTTGACTCACATATATTTCTCTAGTCAGATTAAGAACATGAGGCATAGCAGTACACTAAAAGTTCAAGACTAATTAAGCAACCTCACAGAAGATGGAATTTAGAAATATACATAGGGAATTTGAACAGTCCTTAGGTCCAGGCCAGGAAAATATTTACATTTAAGATATCCTATACAAGCTCAGGCAGCTACGTAGTGAGAAGTGGCTATCACTTACTGAAACAGTCCTTAGGTCCAGGTCAAGCCAGTAAAACTACAGGCTCATCATTTCAGACTCCTAAAGCTCTTTGGAAAATGATTTGGGGCATAAAAGTACCTCAAAAATTCAGACTTTTCCTGTGGAAAGTTGTTAATAGAGCACTTGCCACCAAATGGGCACTATGGAGAATGAAGCTGTCTCAGAATCCTTTATGTCCAATATGTGGGGAAGAAGAAGAAGCAATAGAACATCTAATTTTACTATGCCCCTGGACTACTACAGTATGGAGGAAATCTCCTCTTGGACTTTCAATTGACAGATGCGAAAATACAAGGATTGAGGTATGACTGTTGAAAGCTTTTAAAGAATCGCAAGCATAAACAATATGGAATATACAGGACAACCGCTGCTAGCGTTTATTTGATGGTTCATCCCAGAAAGAACGCAATGGATGGATATTTCAACACCACCAACCAAGTTGGAGTAGAGTACTCTTTCAACTGGTCAACTAATGATGAAATGCAACAGTCAAGGGAAAAAAGAAGGGTTTAGACTATTGCAACTCAACCAATAGGCTAGATGAAAATTAATTGTGATGGAGCATGCTTCAAGGAGAGCAACAATGCGTCGTACGCAGCAATATTACGCAATCACAAGGGACAACTTATGAATAGAGCCTCAGCAAGGATAATTGAGATACCGGAATCGGACTCAAAAGTTCTTATTGACTCCCTTAATTAAGGACCAAAGTCGATAAAATGAGATATAGAGGCCACCCAGCATGATAAATGGTAATACGCAGAACAGTTAGCTAATGTCAAATACATATACATAAGGAGATCTTGCAACACTGCAGTACATTTGTTGGTTGCAATCTCCAGATAGGGCACATTCCCCCTCGATTGGTTCTCATCTCCTCCAAAACAGTTGGAGCAGATTATTCTCAAAGAAGCTAGAATAGGGATAGAGTGAAAATATACTAGAAAAGGACAGGCCCTTTTCCTGGTTTTTATTTAATGAAAATTTATATTCAGACCAAAAAAAAAAAAGGTGCTTCCTTATTTTTTTGTTGGGCCTTTGGGAGTATACATGAATTTGGGCCATGTAGAGCCAAGTTGGGACATGTATTGCCCGGTTCAACTAATTCACACTGGGCTCGAGATTGGACTGGAAAAAATCCACAGCTTTGGCCCATAACGGCCCGGAACTTGTGATTATCGATTAGCAACCCTTGGATGTAAGAAAACGCATCCAAACTGTTCATATCTGTCGGTTTGTTTTACAAAGTCGACAAGAGAGAGAAAGAGGGAGAGAGTGAGACTCTGCTGGAGGGAGTTAGGGTTAAATCGGATCAGAATTTGGGGATTTCATTACTGAGGTACACTTTCGATATCGAAATTGAGTTTATTGCATAACACACTCTCTCTCTCTCTCAAACACACACAACACACATCTGTTCGATGTAAGGTGTTTGTTAACATATGCAAATTATGTGAAAGGATTGACTTTTTGTAGTTTTGTGTCTGTTTTGTACTGTGTTTTTTGTGGTTAATGAGAGCGAGTTTTTGGTGACCAAAACGGTGCATTTTGTATTCGGGAATGGGATATGTTTACCAAGGGACCGTGATCATTCGGGTTGCTAGCTTCTCATGAGTGGTAGAGTGATTAAGTTTATAGCATTTGAATTATATGAGAGATGAATTTCTGTGTGGCACTGAGCCTCTGTAATTGCGAGTTTGAATTTCTGTTAGTTGGGATATGGGAGTCATCTAAGGGACTTTTTAGGAGCTAATATAATATAAATCATTGAAGCTAAAAGATCAGGGCAGCGGAGAGGACATTAGAAAATGGCTTATATTAGTTGTCAGTTTTTCAAGTGCTTTGAAAGGTTAAATTTTTACTGTCATGAACAAGAGAATAGAGTGCCTGAAGTTGCTTTGGGAGTGCCAACAAAATCACAACAGAATTCTGGGTTGATGGTAAAGTTTAATTGGTTTGTATGAAGCATACTATTCATCTTTTTTTGAGATGCTGTGGTATCTCCACCGGTTGATTTTCAACTTAATAGAACTAGATCTTGCTGAGATACTTGCAGTTTCCGTAGACACACTAGATATGGGGTTTACATTGGAGGGCTTCTGTGGGACAATTCAGAAATACAAGAAAAAATATGATTGGTTACTTATTATCATTCATCTAGCAGACATAAAATGCATACTGGAACCAGTTAACTTTGGCTGCAGGACAGGTACAACCGTACATGTCTTTTAGAGGCTACAGATGGCAGAAAGCAAGTCCTGCTTGTGTTTTTTGTTAGGGGATAGTCAGTTATCTTGGTATGGATACTTGTATGTGTAAACCTCTGGGAGAAGCTTTTCATGATAATTCCCGGTGCTTGATAAAATTTCCAGCGGTTGAAATGTAGTATTTTTGGGCAAATATGCCTGTGGGTTGATAAGGTAGACGGGTGGGTTTTATGGGAGATGGACAAGAGAGGCAATTACAAGAAAGTTGATTTTGCTATTTTCTAATCCTGTCTATTCTATGTATGTTTGACCATTCAACAAAATTAATATTGTCTTTTATAATTAATAGATATTAAATTAAAGATTTACTAGCGATACTTTTTCTGAAATTAATCAGCCTTAGGATGTGATTATATTTCAATTGCATTTCTAATAGACAATAATAAAGCAAAGTAGTCATATTGGTTAATCAACAATTTTTTGCAACAATCAATTTATTTCATTGAAAAATGATCTTTCTGCTAACAGAATGCTTAATCACTGCAGTTTGAAAATGCCTCGTTATGATGATCGATATGGTAGTACTCGTCTTTATGTTGGTCACTTGTCGTCAAGGACTCGCTCGCGTGACCTGGAGCATGTCTTCAGAAGATATGGGAGGTAATCAAATGTCTGGCTTCTCTACAATCACCTTCTTGTGTTATTTGAAATTCTGCTCATGCTATTCCTTGTGAATTGTGGCACACATTTTACTGAAGACAAACCAATTGTGCAAAGCTCAACTGCAGTAATGTCTTAATTTTCTTCGTTATTCTACTAGATTCCATGTCGTAGTCAAAAATAAGAAAGAGAAGAGGGTAAACAAAAAGCATCTTTTGTGTCAGTCATATCACTTTGGTCAGGTAGAGGTCACTGTGTAGGAAGCTGCAATCTTTTGTTTCCTCTGAAGTTTTTCTGATAATGAATTGGAAATCAACTTGTTGATAAAGAAAAAACAGTGTCTTTGATGCACTCCACAAATATGTATTTGATGATCAAACTCAGTTATTCAAATCATTGGTACAATAAGTTAAGAGTGCATATATTTCATCTTTAATGGTAGGTTCGGTGTAAGCTGCATAGTGATGTAGACTACATGGTTTTACTCATCTTTGTGGTGCTGTTTTTAAACAGCTTTTGGCTATCCCATTTAAAATCTATCAGACAAGTTGCCACTCAATCTGTGATGTGGGGTACGTCTCCCACTCATGTAGGAGACACTTGGTTTGTATGCCAAGCATGGTTCTGTGCTTGGGTCTACATTATTCATCATATTTTCTGTGAAGGAACATTGTACCCCCAGGTGTCTGTGTGTTTAACTTGAATGATCTTGTTGAAGGTTTCTGGCTTTTGCCTAACCTGGAGGTCAATGGTGAGAGGGTGCCCTTGGTGGAAATTCTTGCCGAGTTTTAGGAGACTTTGGTGATTCTTTCTGAAATATTTATGCGTTTTTATGGAATTGGCCCCAATCTCACACTGGTGTTTAGTTCGTCTTGTGCGGCGGTGTGTCGTGCACTTCCTGTACTTAAGTATGATGGCCTTACTGTTTCTGCAACCTTCCGCAGAGTAAGAGATGTGGATATGAAGCGCGACTATGCCTTTGTTGTATGTATCGCCCCTTCCTTTTCCTTTTTCCTCACTTATGAATGCACTTGATTAGTTTCTTAAACTGTTTAGATAACTGGGTTGCTGATCATGTTACGCAATTGTTGGGTTCCGTTTGTTGGTTTTTGCGTTTTGACTTCAATTTGCAGGAATTTAGTGATCCCCGGGATGCTGATGATGCAAGATATAGCTTAGATGGTCGGGAATTTGATGGAAGCCGTATTATTGTGGAATTTGCTAAGGGAGTAA